AATCGCTAGTTGGTTTCAACTCTTTAATTGACACAGACAGTCCATCCCAGCAGCCTGTGTCACCTCTCCATTCAGAGGGTCATCTCTAAGCTCTCGGGATTTGTGTGTGATTTCTCCACCACTCCAGACAAACACACGCCAGCAAGAGTTTCCCGCTGTTCTTAGCACACACACTCCCCCCCACCGCTGCCTCACCATCTCCGTTCTTGAAGATGATCTCGTTGTTGGTGAAGAGCAGCTCGCTCATGATGTCGGGGTTCTCCCAGTTCAGCCACAGGGGGCGCTTCGCTGAGGACATGATGCGGCACTCCTCCAGCCTGAGAGGGAGACAGGGGCTCAGCACGACAGGGCGCACTCCCTGCTGTGCACAAGTCTGCTCTTTACCTCCTCTGCACAGAAGCCCAGGTCTGGGGCGAAATCGCCTGCTGAGCTCTGGGCCCTGCTGTGTCAAGCGCAGAGTCCATCCTGACACGTCTAGATTCAGTCGGGCTGAGAACAGCCTCTTATCTTCACGGATGTGCAAGGAGCAGCAGATGCAGTTCATGAGAAGTGATAACCCACAGTGAGTCACTACACTGTGTCTTAGCTGGTGTACAGAGAGAGTGAGACAGGCACCTGAGGTTGCCCGGCTGGTGTACAGGGTTCAGTAGACACAGAGAGAGAGTGAGACAGGTACCTGAGGTTGCCCGGCTGGTGTACAGGGTTCAGCGGACAGAGAGAGAGAGTGAGACAGGTACCTGAGGTTGCCCAGCTGGTGTACAGGGTTCAGTGGATAGAGAGAGAGAGTGAGACAGGTACCTGAGGTTGCCCAGCTGGTGTACAGGGTTCAGTGGACAGAGAGAGAGAGTGAGACAGGTACCTGAGATTGACCGGTTGGTGTACAGGGTTCAGCGGACAGAGAGAGAGTGAGACAGGTACCTGAGGTTGCCCAGCTGGTGTACAGGGTTCAGTGGACAGACAAAGCCCTGCAGAGCCTCCATGTAGTCCGGCCGGCTCATGTGCTCGACCAGGAACTTCATCTGGGTCTGAAGAAAGGAGAGTAATTAACTAACGAAGCCCCACACTCTGAGACTGACAGCTGACATGCAGAGAACGGCACAGTCAGAGCTGTGGAGTGGCTCCAGCAGTCGAGGGAATGCCCGGAGCACAGCGTGAGCTCGGTGCCCACATGCCGCGGAATCAAGCCATGAGCCTGGCACTGCCAGGGGCTGAGACTGCTCTGCCCCAAGATCTGCAGGGCCTCGTGCAGGAACGTCGCCCCTGTCCTCTCGGGGCCTGCAGAGCTCCCCGCACGGCGAGACAGGCACGTGTCCCCCGGTCTCCCGCAGCGGAGACACGTCAGACACACAGGCCCGACCTGGGGACAACTGGTAAAGAGGACCGCCGGTACCTTCTGGGTCTCGTCCTTCTTCTCCTGCTTCAGGGTGTCAGTCAGGTTGATGAGCTTCTCCATGGCCTCCACCTGTCGGTTCAGGTGCTTCAGGTACATGCCACAGCCCCGGCAGAACGCCTCCAGCAGCAGCCCGAACCGTCGGGACACTGTCTTATTGTGCATCTCTGACCTGAGGGACAGAGGGGTTAATACAGACACACTGGACACTACAGTCCATTAACACTGCACTGAGAGAGAG